AATACCTTTGAGGAAAGTCAGTGACAATTTTTTTTCTATTTTGTAGTGGTTCAGTCATTTAGACTTGTTTTTCAGACATTAGAGCCTCTAGTTTAGCTAGTTCAATTGCAAAATCTATAGAAGGTACTCAGTAAATGCTTTGTTGAATGATCTAATGAATGGATCTCATTTAGTAGTTGCCCATGTGTCCTCTTAGGAAAATGTGTTAATTAGTCATATAAAATACATCTTTTAATCCATTCTTTTGATTTTGTTGTAAGATATTTCCAAATAAAGAACTATTTTTGATTTTGACTTTCTTTGTTGAGAGAGGGTTTTGCTCTGTTGCCCAGGCTAGAGTAAAGTTGCATTGTTAATAGTTCACTATAACATCAAACTCTTAGGCTTAATCAGTCTTCCTGCCTTAGCCTCCCAAGTAGCTGGGGCTACAGCCACATGCCACCATGCCTGGCTAATTATTTGATCTTTTTGTTGGTATGTTGCTCAGGCTGGTCTCTAACTTCTGACTCAAATAGAGCTACTCTAGGCTTGGCCTCCCAGAGTGCTAGTATTATAGGCATGAGTCACTGTGTCTGGCCTGATTTTGACTATTCTTTGTCAGATAGGACTTAAAGGATCATATTCCAAACTACAGTTATGCTGTATTTGTTATAAGATTAGTTTTAAAATGTATTTGGTTATTTAAAAAGAATTTCTTGACAATTTTTGATGAATAACTTCTGACATGTGTTCTAGCAGCATTAAAATAGGGAAAATGTTTTTCCTTTGAGCTATATATTTCTATCTTATTTACATTTTTATAAAATTTTACTGTGTATTTCTGAAGAAGGAAAAATAAATAATGTCTCTAGGACTAATTAAATGCATGAATGACACTTTTTTTTTTTTTTCTGAGATGTCTTACTTTGTTGCCCTTGAATGCCATGGCATCATAGCTCACAGCAACCTCTAACTCTTAGGCTCAAGCAATCCTTTTGCCTCAGACTCCTGAGTGGCTGGGACTACAGGTCTGCTGCAGTACTTGACTATTATTAGAGAAGGGATCTTGCTCTTGCTCATGCTGGTCTCTAACTCCTGAGGTCAAGCAATCAACCTACCTCAGCCTCCCAGAGTGCTAGGATTATAGGTGTGAGCCACTGAGCCCCACCTGAAGGACATTTTTTTTTGTTTTGAAGTAGAGTCTCACTCTGTTGCCCAGGCTAGAGTGCCTTAGAGTCATATATCACAGCAGCCTTAAACTTAAATAGTCCTCTTGCCTTAGCTTCCCTGGTAGTAGGTGGGACTATAGGCGCCAGCCACAATACCTGGCTAGTTTTTCTATTTTTAGTATAGATGGGGGTCTCGCTCTTGCTCAGACTGGTCATGAACTCATGAGGTACGTGCCTGGCCTTCATGGATGCCACTTGATATCAGCATCCCCAAATCACGAGTTCATGAATAAAACTGCATTTTTAAACAATTAGTATTATAAATCATATCTATCAAATTGATGGACAAATAATCACTAGTTGAGTTTCATTTTTAATAGTTTAGATTTTAATAATTTTATAAAATTATATAAGTACTCTACTGCTAAATTAAAATAAATTAGGAAGCAAGTAAGATTAAAGTAAAGAAGCTCATGTATGAAACCTTTTTTTATAATCACTACTTGGTGGAAATAGCCATGTATTTAAATTACTATAGGAAAGCCAAGACTTTGCTAATACTGAACATTTTACACTAAAGCTTTAGGAATCAGAAATGACTGTATTCAGTGCTTTGATTAATATGCCTAGTTTAGATGCAGGCACATCATGAGTAATATATAGGACTCAGGAGATTTTTATTGAGTTTATTCTTAGGTTTAATGGTGTAAGATAGTCAATTGCTATTTGTGAATTAAAGAAAACATTGGATATTAGATTCGGTGATTAATAGGAACTGAAGCAGTACTGAAAAAGGCTGAATATAATAAGACTACTAGCAAGAATCTCAAATTTGTTCTATTAATTCAATAGAGGATCATTGTGAAAAGCAATCAAGAAAATTTGTATATCCTACTCTATTAATTTTCACTTTTTAATCAATGTTTAGGGTCTATTTACTCAAAAGTTTTTGATGACTTTAACATAGAACTTTAAGGATTCCCCAAACACAAGGTTTGTAAGCAATACTTTTTTTCTTTTGAGACTGGGTCTACTCTTTTGCCCATGTTAGAGTGCAGTGGTGTGACCATAGCTCACTATAACCTCACACTCCTGGGATCAAGCAATCTTCCCATGTCAGCCTCCTGAGTAGCTGGAGGCCTTTGCCACTATGCCCAGCTAATGTTTCTCTTTTTCATAGAGGCAGAGTCTTACTATATTGTTTAGGCTAATCTTGGCCTCAAGTGATGTTCCCACCTTGGCCTCACAAAGTACTGAGATTAAAGGTGTGAGCCGCCACACCTGGCCTGTATGTGTTAATTTTTAAGAAATTCATTGTAGGCCAGCACCCGTGGCCCAAAGGAGTAGGGTGCCGACCCAATATACTGGAGGTGGTGGGTTCAAACCCGGCCCAGGGCCAAAACTACAAAAAAAAAAAAAAAAGAAATTCATTGTAAAATAAGAGTTTAGGAGATCTACTTTGATTCAATGAATAATAATTATAAAAAGCTATTTTGAAATCTTTAAAATAAAATCTTTGTTATAGTTCAAGTGGAAGTTTATTTTGAAATTATGTTTTGACATGAACCGTTCTTCTTCCAATGTGCTCTATAGATTTCTTGTAATTAAATTATTATATTAGCAAATTTCTAATACACTCTGTTGAAATTTCTAATATGTTTTTTAGTTTTAAGAAATACCAATAAGTGTAATTAGCTTATGGTCATTGATCTATCTAACAGTTCATTGTTAATCTTCTGTTTGGCTAATTTATTTATTTAACCTCCTTAAGATTAGAAAGCTTATTGTGTTAAAGATGTGAAGTGATATTTGGATTGTTTATCAAACTTAGTATGAAAAATTCAACTTCCAGGTTAAATCATTCTTAACATCTTAAACGAGATATAAATATGTTTTGAAGGTAGAGAAACTGAGATGTACTGAACTTATGTAGTTGTATCAAAGTAAAATGTAGTTAACTTTGAGCAGCAAGATTTGCACTCTTACCAGCACTTAAGCTTCTGCATATCATAGGCATTTCATGTATGCTTTTTAAATTGAAATGAACAAAATTGAATTCAATTTCCTTAATGTTTGACTTTTACTTCATGTTTTAAATTATGCAACTTTTAGCAAGTTTGTATTAACTGTGAATTGTGTATCTTCTAAAACTCTATAGGATAACATTTATTTTGATTACCCCTGTCAACTAATGCCATTCTCATGCTTTTCCATCAAGTAATCCTATTTCCATATGGCATATAGAATATTTCTTGGTACAAACAAATGATACATGCTAATAACTACTTATGAGAATTATCCTACTATAAATGTATTAAAAGTAGAATGACAAAATATCTACACCCCTGAAATAGACAGAATTTCAGTCAAATAAGGCAAACTCTGTAAATTATTACCTTACTGTTTAGATGAGAGGCAAATGGCCAAGAAGACAGTGAATTTGGCATCACCTGGGAAATGGAGACTGAAAGAAGCTGATTTTTGCTCTGTGCCTTTAAAGGGCAGGTGCCAGGGGCTTTGTCTATGTTCACTTAATTTAATCACCACAGTTTAAATCTGCTTTTTTTTTTTTTTTTACATGTTTTATCAAAAAAGAAATTGATTTAATCTAAATAGTGTTATTAAGATAATGCAACTACTAGGAGAAGCTCCAAGGATAGAATGCAGATCTTCCTGATTGTCCTATGCCTACTCATCTCATGCCACTATGATGATAAAGAGAACCTATTGCCTCCACCAAATAAATATACAAATTTATTCATACAGAAATATGAGTAAAAATTTTTAAAATATTTGAAATTCTTAATGGAAAAAACTCACTATTTATTTTACTTTGTGAAACATACTATATATATCATGTGAATGTGTCCAAAGACTAAGAATTTGCTCTTATAAAGAATTTTCTACTTATAAAGATTTTATAAGTAGATTTTATGATTACATCTAAAAATGAATATGTATCACATGTGCTATACATTTAGAAGTAGGTGAGTGTAATTGTTTAAGCTTAGTGTTGAAACAACATAATGTGGGGTTATCTCTTCTATGACCACTGCAAAAGTAATAAGCCTAGCTTTCTATTCAGTTTTTTATTGTATAACCCCAAAAGGTTAAACTATATTGCTTCTCCTAAGTCTAGTGCCATGGTGTCATAGCTCATAGTGACCTCAAACTCTTGGGTTGGAGCAATCCTTTTGTCTCAGCTTCCCAAGTAGTGAGACTATAGGCTCACTTCAGGATGACGACTAATTTTTCATTTCTTGCTCAGGTTGGTCTCAAACTCCATAGCTCAGGCTATCCAGCTGCCTTAGCCTCCCAGAGTGCTAGGATTACAGACATGAGATGCCATAGCAGGCCTAGTCTCATTTTCTTTCTTCTTTATCATCTTTATGCTTTATGCATGTTAATTATGAATTCACAGGCTGAATAATTGGTCTTACTGTGATTAATATCCTTATATTAGTCATATTTTCACCTTAACAAAATAATCATGCTTTATATATATATAGATAAATCCATATGCTGAAAAAGAAAGTTAAAAATCTACACTATAGGCTTATGAATATTTGTATGTATATTAACAACAGGGAAAGGAATGAAATTAACTTGATGACAAAATTTCAAATTTTGTAAGCAGTGTAAAAAATCCAAGTGTGTAGGCTGAATTTATCCAGCAAACCTATTTTGTGACTTGAGAAATTCTTTGCTTTCTTCTGCTTAAATATTATAAATTTATTCATGTTTACACACTGTTTGCTTTCGAATTTCATCTTTGGGTAAGTAACCTTTTAATTGAAACATTAAACTAATACTTTCTTCAAACTTATATACTTGCTTTTTTGTGTTCTACAGAGCCAAGAAAATGATGAGCTAAGAGATGCCCATGAAAAACGCAAGGAAAGGCTACAGATGTTACAGACCAACTACAGAGCAGTAAAAGAGCAATTAAAACAGTGGGAAGAAGGCAGTGGCATGTGAGTTACATAGCTCATAAAGGCATTTCCCTAAATATTAAATGGAATGGAGTAGCATTATATAGGTGTTTTAATGGCTTTTGTTTGGTTTTAAAGATATTATTTGGTAGTCAAATCTTTACTGTGAATTCTTAGATGGAGAAATGACAAATAAAAACAGAAATGTGCTAGCAGTAACTAAAAATTTTCCTATCATTTGCAGATATCGAATGTAGATGATTATGAATTATTGTATATATTTTTATTATCAGTGGAATAGCTTAATAAGAATATGTAATTTAATGCAAATATTTTTAGTATGCATGTGGTTGGAAAGATGCTTTTAAATAAATAAAATATGGGTGTTAAAATGTTTATAACCCAAAAGTGTTCAAGTTTTAATGGAAAGAAAAGAGAAATATGAAATTCACATATATAATTAACTATCTTAAAACTATTTCAACCTAGTATGCAATTTGAAGATGTTTACTATCCATCAGTTTGTTCTCCAGCTTATCTGAATGAATTGGCAGTCTCAATTCAATTGCTCTGAACAGGTGTTCAAATCTTGGTTAGTTGTAAGTGGCTCCCCTGTTAACAGTATCAACAGAGGGCAAAGGACTGAATGAGTACAGAAAATCTACTACCCTCTCATCTTTTGAGATGGATCCTTTAGGGCAATGTTGATGATACACATTGGTCTGCTCTGTAGAGAAATACTGTTTCTAAATTGTCCAGTACAGCACTTTTACAAAATAAGAACGAAGAATTTCTTTTATATGCAGAAAATGAAATTGTAAAGGGCATTTAGTGTCACTTGTTGATAATTGTCACATCTCATTTTTTCCTTTGATGAATGGAAGTGTTTCATATTGCTTGTCTGTAAAGCAGAAATAAAGCAATTTGTTCTAGATTTAGTGTTTGCTCACCTAACTTTTCAGTAATCAGTGGAAAAGTGACATGTGTGCTGGTAATAGCTTTTTATAAGATAGGACATCTATACCACATTCAGGCTGATTGGCAACACATTCTAGATGAGTTGGTTGCTTACAGGATTTTTTGGAGGTTGCTAAAATTCTAAACTGTATGTTTTATTACTATTAAGATGAATGACAGGAATAGATCTAAGAATATCATCTGTCTGCTTGAAAGTTTGCTTTCTAGGCTTGGCGCCTGTAGCACAGGGAGTAGGGCACCGGCCACATACACCAAAGCTGGCGGGTTCTAGCCCAGCCTGGGCCTGCTAACAGCAATGACAACTGCAACCAAAAAATAGCTGGGTGTAAAAAATAGCCAGGCACCTGTAGTCCCAGCTACCTGGGAAGCTGAGGCAAGAGAATCACTTAAGCCCAAGAGTTTGAGGTTCCTATGAGCTGCGACATCATGACACTCTACCGAGGACAACACAGTGAGACTCTGTCTCCAAAAAAAAAAGTTTGTTTTCCATAGTAGCAGTTGAGCTTTAGGAAATTATGATAGGAGAGTTTAATTTCTACATGCTTAAGTTTTAGGAAATTCATCCAGTAAACAGCTTGAATTGGTAATTTGGTCAATAGACATTTTTAAATTCTAAGGAATATATAAATTAAATTACACTGTATATTGAACATGTTAAAGAAAAAGGCAACTTTATTTTAAAAATAGGAATGAAATTAGAAAGATAAAGAGAGCAGATCCCAAACAACTTCAACAAGAAGATTCCGATGCTGTATGGAATGAACTGGCATATTTCAAAAGGGAAAACCAGGAGCTAATGCTTCAAAAGTGAGTTTATTTTTTAACAATATGGACTTCGATAAACATTTGGGAGAATTTTCTTTAAAGACCATCAAAGAAATATTTTATACAATTTGGAAATGAAATAATCTGTTTCTTTCCAATAAAAGTAAAGGCGAAAAGCTTAAAAATATATGTATCATGCAATAGCAAGTTGCACATTTACTAGCTCTAACAGAAACTGTATAATATGATCTAGGGATTGTGTTAATTAATGTGGCTCTCATCTGTTGGAGGTGTCGCTCTTCATTAGCCTGTATTTTAGACACTGCCGTGCTTCATTTTTGGAATGAGGTGGAGAGGGGATAACCTAGCCAGCCATCCTTGTTTGATCTCCTAGATACATACGCAATGCAGAATGCCTGAGCTCTCTTGGTTCCCTGCCCTGTCCTGCTAATCCCAGCTGAGCTCATTATGGTGTAGCCTTGCTGCTACTCTTGGAGCCAGAGCTGTCCAAGCTAATTACTGGTAGCAGTAGAACTGCCTGTTAAGGGTCTGGTGTGGATCTGCTAACATGGTCCTTGGTAGTGACCTGCAAAAGACACGAGGGAATTGCTTTCTTTCTTGCTATGCACTGCCTGTCCTTTGGGCTTACTGCCGATTTTTCTACATAGGTCTCTTAGCTGCCCTAAGTATAAAACTTGATGAAGGATACTTCATATTTTAGAAAACATACAGTTTGCTTGCTTGATCTTATAATTCACAGGCTATTATATTAATCCGGCCAGAGAAAAAAACACTACTTCTTTTATTTATTTATTTATTTATTGAGATGAAAAGGCCTTAGACCAATATAATTAGCTGCTACTGTTACTTAGCTATTTCTTCATTTAGAGTTAATATCTGACAATTGGACTATACAGTTATTTTTGAAAGCCTGGGTATCTTTTAGATTGCTAGAATTTAGCATCATATGGTATAAAGTAATTAAGTGCAACTGAATTTTTTTATCTATAAATCAAAAGCTTGTCTTATATACTACATAACTTTTGGTTAAAACCTTTTACATGTAATGATAAACTTTTAACAGAATGACATAAGGTTTAGATGTATGCTTCCATTTATCTCTCAAAGTAAAATATACTCTACTAGTGCTACATTTTTGATCCTGATAATAAAGTCTCTTATCTAAAAATTGTTATTTTTATATATATTTAAAAATATATATATATTTATATGTATATATCTATTTATATATATTTTGAGACAGAGTCTCAAGCTGTCATCATGGGTTGAGTGCTGAGGCATCATAGCTCACAGCAACCACCAACTCTTGGGCTCAAGTGATCCTCTTGCCTCAGTTTTTCTATTAGTAGAGATGGGGTCTCACTTTTGCTTAGGCTGGTCTCAAACTCCTGAGCTCAAGCAATCCACCCACCTTTGCCTCCCAGAGTGCTAGGATTATAGACATGAGCCTCTGTGCCTGGCCTCTAAAAATTATTTTACAGACTACATAAATTTATCTAAGAAGCATTTAGTAGCTTCATTGAAATATAATTGACAAGTCATATAATATACTCATATAAACTATATAATTCAATGTCCTTTAGTATGTTCAAAGAGTTGTACCATACACTATCACAATAAATTTTAGGATATATTCATCACCACCACTACACAATTTAGCTGTCATTCTCCAACTCTCTTATCCTGCCCTAGGGAACTACTAATCTACTTTTGTATCTGTAGATTTGCCTTTTCTTCACACATCACGTAAACAAGATGATACAATAGATGGTCCTTTGTAACTAGCTTTCTTTATTTAGCATCATGTTTTCAAGGTTCATCCATATCATAGCATCCATGTATCAGTGCTTTATCTGATAATCTTTAATGACTTCTACAAAATAAAACTTGATCTTGGATGAAGTAAGTACAGAGACCAAATCTAACTAGTTGGGAAATTTAATCTATTCACGCAGAGGTTACATGTAAGTGGTACATTTGGGGTTTATGAAACATAACTATATAAATTTATATTCATGAATATAAATTTCTATTCATGAAATAAAACTAAGGAAAATGTAATAAGGCCTTGATGTGTTCAATCAGCAGTGTTTGTACTTTTCAAATACCTTTTTGAATTGAATGCTAAAAGTCAATATTAAAGTATAGAATTTTTTCCTACAATCTGTTTATGTTCATTAATGTGACAGCCAATTGTAAAATAGTTATTTTTCATATCTGCCTTAACTTAGTAAAATATAATGGATTTTTTTTAAAGAATTTAATAAACTTTAAATCATGTACAAAGTTGGGGAAAAGGGTTAGGTTATTTTGTAAAACATTTATTCAGTTAACAAATGTATTTGAGTTACTGCCTCCTGACATGCACTCTGCTAGGTGAATGAAATGACAACATCAGACAAACTTTCTATTCTCAGGAGCTTATTTGGAAACATGATTAGTATTAAATATTCTTAATGAAATATGATGTTAAAAATAAGACTAATTTTATAAAGTATGATAAAACAATGAGACTTATAAAATGACATTTTTTCATTAAAGTTTGTTGACTGATAAAGAGAATTTAGAAAATCTGCATATAGTACCTTCACTTTTTTAGTATATGATTTTTGAGTTATAACACATGATAGATTCAAGTTTCTGCTACCACAATCAGGAGACAAAACAGTTGTATCACCTCAAAAATTTCCTCGTCCTGTCCTTTTGTAGTCAAATCCTCCCACCACTCCTAACACCTGGCAACCAGTGATTCATTCTCCCTACCTAGAGCTTTGTCTTTTTTAGAATGTCATATGTGTGGTATCATACAGGCTGTAACTTTATTTTCTTTAAATATCAAAGTGTGACAGAGGCTGTACATTTTTGAGACTGGATGTTTTTACTCAGCATAATGCCTTTGGGATTCATTCAAATTGATTCATACACTTTGCTCTTTTTTATTGCTAAATAATATTCCACTGTATGGATATATCAGTTTATCCATCTGATGAAGAACATGTGAGTCTTTTCTAGTTTTTTTTTTGTGTGTGTGTGTGTGTGTGTGTGTGGGCGCGCGCTTTTATATTAGATATTTCTGACCATCACCAGTTAGTTCTCATCCATGTTGACAGTAGATTTTTGAAAGTGGTAACAGGTACATAGGTAACGGAAGTATAGAGCTTGTTTGATGAATCTTTATCTTCATTACATTTTCTGGACAACTGCCCACAGATATTATACGAGCCATTCCTTATGCCTCTGGCCCAGACAACTTTGTTGAGCCTCGTATCCATGTATACTTCTGGAGTCCTCATCTCTTTTATGGTAAATTTCTGGATCTCTTTGAGTGCCCAAGTGACATGCTTCTTGAAGCCAAGCCCACTTCATGGATGTGCTCGTGAATGTTGATTGTATATTTTCGAGTCACCACCTCGTTGATGGCAGAATGGCCCTTTTTCTTCTTGCCACCCTTCTTTGCGGGAACCATCCTGCCAAGCCCAAGTTGGAAAGAGAGAGTGAGGGTTTGTGGGAAGAGAAAAGTGGTGGTTGCATCTGTGTGTGTGTGTGTATTTTTTTTGGTTAAAAATGGAACCTGCCTATATACAAGTTTTTGTGTGAATATACCTTTTTGAATATCCAGAAGTTGCATTGCTGGATCATGTGGCCAGCATATGTATGACTCTAAAAGAAACTGTCACAGTATTTTTCAAAGTACCTATGCCATTTCATTCCCAATGGAAATTCACGAAAGTCCAATTGTTCCCTGTCCTTGTCAGTACTTGGTGTTGTCAGAATTTTTAAAAAACCATGCCAATAGGTATCCCATTGTGATTTTAATTTCTATTTTCCTAGTGGTCAGTGGTTAACGGATTGTCTTTTCATGTGCTTATTTGCTATCTCTATATTGTCTTTGATGAGTGTCTATTCAAATATTTTGCCCATTTAAAAAATGGTTGGTTATTGTGCACATTGAACAATAATTCATTCTTCCTTTTGAGCTTTAAGGGTTCTCTATATATTCTGTATACAAGTCATTAATTTGTAAATATATTCTCCCGTTCTGTAGATGGCCTTAACTGTAATTTTGCAAGGCAAAAGTTTTCAATTGTGATGAAATCCACTTTTATCATTTTTTTGCCTTCATGGTTCATGGCTTTGAGAGCTATTTCTCTAATCAAGGTCACAAGGATTTTATCTCATGTTTTCTTCTGAGGAAGATTTACATGTTTATTTAGATCTATGATCCCTCTTGAGCTACTTTTCATATAAGATATATTATAGATTAAAGTTTTGTTTTTGTAAATACATGCCAACTTGTATCAATATCACTTTTGAAGGCTGTTCTTTCTAAAATAGATTCTTTGTAATTGTCAAATATCTATTGATTGTATTTTGTGGTTCTACTTTAGGACTCTTTTATTCCAATTATCTTTATTACAATATTTCATGAAAACCACCTGATTTTGATTATAATAGCTTTCTAATAGATGTTAAACCCAGTTAGTGACAATAATCAACTTTATTCTTCCCTTTCAAAATCGTTTTGACCTTTTTAGTCCCTTTGCCTTTCCATATTTCAATTTAGTTACAAAAATAAGAAAGATTGGAATTTTGCTAAGTCTATATATCAGTTTGTAGAGAACTAACATATTAACTATATTGAACCTACTATTCCATGAAAGCAGTGTCTCTTAATTTATTGAGATTTTCTTTTTTTTTACATTAGTGTTTTGTAATTTTAGCATGCAAGTTCTGTATGTCATTACTTTGTTAGATTGGTACTAAGTTATGTTATATTTTGGAATAGTTTAAGTGGTGTTAATTTTTATCTTGTTTTTTAAATGTACATTGCTATTGTATTTCTGTATACTAAATTACATTTTTTGCATGTTTATCTTGCATTATTTATATATGTATTAGAACTAAGTCTGACATGTTATTTTTTGTTTGCTTCCTGTATTTTTCTTTTCTATTGGTTGCTTGGATTGTTTTAGAATCCCATCTTTATTTATCTAAAGGGTTTTTGAGTATATCTTTTTCAA